TGATAAATAGGTTGTACGGAGATATCTTCAGCAGATGCGTTCATCAAGCGTAAATGGGAGGTAGGAGAATTAGGAGAAAGAGTTAGCAACATTCCTGCAGGGGATACGTTGTTGACAATTAAAACACACACACACACAGGAGAGATACACTCACTGTATGCATATGCTGATAAACTACTATGCTGAGTATTTGAACACATCCCTTTCTTCCTTCATATCCAAACACAGTGCTCAATAAGGGTATATTGAAGTCAAGGTAAACATACACTTCACTATACGCTGTAAACAACATTTATGAGAAGGTCTCCGAAAGATTGTTTTTCAACCGAATGAAAATTATTTTATATTCAGTTGGAAACTGTTTAGTAGCCTATTAGAAACGCATTCAAGACCAACGGTAACTGAAACCGTATACATCCATTTTTTTGTCAACATATTGATAAATCAAATATTTTTGCATCCCCATGAACCAACAGGAAAGCCGATTAAAATATCTCCACCAAGTCTAGTCAAGTCACAGCAAAGCAATCAAACAATATCTCCAACGCTCCCTCCGTCAAAGTGAGGTTTGTTTCCAATCCTCCACCAACTCCGTCCCTATTCCCAATTTAAATGAAATTACGTTGAACCAACGTGGAATAGACGTTGAATTGACGTCTGTTCCCAGTGGAAAGCCTCCCTTGGCCTCCACAATCCTTTTCCGTGTGCTATAATAAACCATTTTCCCCGTCCTTTATTGATCAGTCAGTCCGAGCTAATGTAATTATCCTCATCAATAGGGGACTGCAGGGAGAATCATTATGCGGTTGACAATGATAAATGATCACCGAAATGCGGCCTTTTCTCCAGCGGACCCCTGCCTCTGACCCGTTCACATACACAACGTAGTCATAGAAACACCTTTTTGCAAAAAGAGAGAACTGCTGAAATGTTAAAAAAGGAGGTCAGCATTCAAATAAAACAAAAACACACAGAGAGATAGAAACCCACCCTAAATAAAAACTGTTCCCAAAGCAAGCCATTTTTGTGAGGCCAGCTGCAAAGCGAGGACGTGTGAAGCCCAACCACTCACGCGCACCCACTTACAATGCAGCGATTCGAAAGAAGAAAGCTACAAACTTAGAGCAATGTAGGTTTAACTTGACACACAATCGTGAATAAAATACCGTTTTATTTGCAGAAAACCATCTTAGTAGCAATGGCATTTTGTAGCCTATTTCTTGAGACACTCCAAAGCGCCCAAATCCTGAGCCAGTGTTGCAGATCGAATAACCTACTTTGCCAGGTGCTCTATAAGAAGATAAGATATGATCATAAGGTTAGGGCTTTATTAACATGTTGCCTGTGTACCCACAACCAGCAACGGCGTCGTGTTCTGCAGGGTATTGTACACATTTAATATCGTTGTCTGAGACTGGGGAGAGGATACGAAAACGGTCTGGGAAAGGCCGGGTGGTTTTGTGTTGTGCAGAGAGAGCAGTGCAGGGGGACTATTCCTTATTTTATTCCTGCAGCAGTACCCGAACTAGCTTTGACAGGGAGGAGATGAAGGGGCGGTGTTGTTTAGCTCGGCTGGATCATCCATCATTCCTGTCACACCGAATCGGCAAAGGGAAGCAGCAGAGGCAATCTACCTTCTGTCTCCTCGAAAAGGGAGAAAGGGGGAAAAATGAGAAATACTATTAATATTACCCCCCCCCTGCCCCGCCACCACCATCCACAATAATCAAGGCGTTTTCTCTCTTTTAGATCAGATAATCTCCACACAAAACGGAGGGCTTCTTCCTTCCGTATTATCCACATAATAGGATGACAAAAAAAAAGCTGTGTTTTTGTATCTTAATTTGACGCAGTTTTAAAACATTGAATATTTTGCATATTTACTTGATTATTTTTGATTTGGTTTATGTTTCAATATAGGCCTACATATTTTAATTCCTGTAATATTGAAATACGCATGCAACTAGTATATTACCAACGCAATCTTCAATTTGTAAATCATTTCTTATTTTCACCTTTTCAACTCTGAAAGTCTTGGAGGCTGCACACTTGATTGAATAAAATAAATATACCAAACTATTTGATAACAAGAGCCTGATAATATCGCTTATCAAAATAATTGTATAGGAATGCTGAATTATTAGAAATTAAATAAATTAGGCTACTATCAGACGAAGATTATTCAGCAATTGGAAAACGTATAAAAAAATCTCGAATATCACAAGGCAATTTGTGTTTTTGCATCATGATCACGACTATAAGGCATTTCGAAGGTAGTAAGTTGCAATAAAAGTAAACATAATATTTTTCCCCCTTTCCACCAGCCCTATGCTTGTTCTGGCTCAACAACCCAATGCCCTCCCTAGACGTCACTCACCTACAGGCTACAGACAGGGCTGAGCGGTGGAGTTAAAACGGGAAAGCCCTGTAGCTCTAACAGTTCTGTACAGTAGACCATTTGAAGAACAAAACAAGTGTTTGGTGTAGTGACCTTCCTAATACAGAATTTCCTATAGAATAATAAAAAAACGATGTATTATTATTATTATTATTATCAACTGCTTTCGCTGTGTGGAAGAAAAATGTAACACAATCCACTACGTTTTACAATAGCATTATGGACAGGCGTGTAAAAATAAGCCCAGCCATTGCAACACGGTTGGAGTTAAATCCCTTATCTGAAGGGCAGAAACATTTCATCCTGCAAGACAGAGAGATAGTCATTTCTGGTTTAAGGCTATGACTTCTATGGCCGCGAGCAAATACTGGCAAAGAGATATCAAAAGATTGTCAGTGAACCCGTGGGCGAGTCGGATTACGCCGTCAGGGGTCGCTGTAAAGCGGCGGAAATATCCACTTGCAGCACATGTAGGCTACTGAAGCTATGTTGTCAGTTGGAAACGGCTGTAGCACAAGGGAAGGGACAAATGCATATTCTATTGTTTGAAGCCAATGGCAAAACTGAGGTTATTTTAAATTTGTTGAACTAAAGGCTATCGAAATCGATTATCTGTTCAAACTCAACCGAAATGGGAAGGCATGCAAATCAAAGGCTTTGCACCTCCATTTCCACTGATATAATAATGAAAAACAAAAACTCATGACCATATTTGTGTTTCTGACAGAGCAAACCATTGCAAATGTAATTAAAACACAGATTTAAAATTAATTTCAAATGATTCATTTCTTTGGTTGCAACAGGTCGCCAGGTTGCGTTTTCTTTCTTAATTTCACTAAAGTGGCACCACTCCTTTGGGGGATTTTACAACTATAAACCTTGACGGGTAAGGTAACCTAAGGGTGCAGAAATGCACTGTCTTTGAATGTACAATTGAGCTTTGTAGCATTACCCTAATATTGATATAGCTATTTAGCCAAACTTTGCTAACCATTTTCTGTCAGAACCATGACCATGATAACTTTGTAATAATAATAATAATATACAACCTATAATAAAATATAAACCCATTACTATGTAGGCCTAATTGCCAGTACTCTTAGTTATGTTCGTAACACACAGCACACAAAAATCTAACAAAAATCAAAAATGAAATATTTATTACAGCATTTGTGACTGAACACCTTTTAAACATTACGTCACAGTCCTCATACAAGTATTTAATAATGTATTTTTGACAAAGCTTAAGGGAGATGGCATTTTATCATCTAGTGAGGAACACGTGCTGAAAAAGGAAGGAATTCATGGACATACAATATCAATGCCACAGCAGATCTGAAACTAGCAAAAACATTCTTTTTCAATTGAGGTAAACACATAGAATATCTAACATGAAACAATTAATAGACTGAACTCTGTACGAAGTTTGTTGCAATATTCTCTTAGCTTTTTCCCAAAGCTTTGAGTTCATAATTTAAGTTCTTTTTTTTGTCTTTTTGTATTTTTTATGTTTTTTGGTGCATCAACCATCAATTGTTTCTCCCAGTGCCAAAGAATCCACCATTGAGTCAGTATTGTCCATATGGCAAGTACGTTTATCCAGAGGCAAAGAAGCAGAGTAGGATGCTGCTTTTCCACTATTAAGCTTCCTTCAATAGGCTCTGTCAATGAGAGTCCAATATACAAAAAAATAAAATAAAATAAAAATGTATAAAACCAACACATTCCAGTGCTTGGGCAATTCAAACTAAGAACTTTTTTAATATACCTACAGGGCAACATTCATTCATGAACCAAAAAAAGAGGGGCATGAAACATTTTCAAACTGAATCTTCTGGAGAGATCAGGTGTCATTTAGCAGCCTTTTCCCATCATGCCCTGTTCTTTATGGGGGACAGGGCCTGTTCTGCCTGTTGCTCTGGTTGGGAGCGAATGGGAGTCCATTTTTGAGATGTTCCATCTTTTCTTTTTTATAGTGCTGCTGCTGTTGCGCCACCGAGACAGTTTCTTCTCCAGGAAGGAGCACACACAGTGTGAGAGAAAGGGTTAACCTTATATTCTACAACTAGCTCAGGGAACATAAATCGAGTGATCAATGAAAAATGCACAAGTTTTAACTTCGTTTCTATAATTGTTATACTACAGTAGTTATAACTCTTGGAGTCTTTTCTTCTCTTTTTTTCTCTCAATTTTCCAGAGTGATTTCGTTTCAAAATTAGTTGAACGTGTCACTGGAGAGAGTGTGTACTGTGTTTGTATGTGTGTGTCTTGAGTGTGTGTGCATTTCCGTGTTTGAAAGTGTCCGTTGTCAAAACATCTTCTGTTGATCTTTAACAAAAGCCCAAGACTTTACAAAGTGTTTATGTCAGCTTGGTCCTTCGTTTGGATGAAAGTAACAAAATTGACAAGTAAAAAACAAAAAAATAAGAAAGAATCATCACAGCTCATCAGGAATTCCGTTTTTAATGTCTAATTCTGGTCAAAAGGGTCTGCGCTTTTATTCGGAATTTCTTTCTCAAAATAGCTTTGTTGTAGGGTTGTTGTTGTTGATGTTTTCTTCCCTTAGTAGCTGCTGTTGTTGTTGTTGATGGTGATGTTGACGTCGTTGTGGTAGTAAAGTTCCCTTATACGATTGGGCGTGGATGTCCAGGCCTTGTCCTCCAGCGCTGGGGTCAATGGGGCTCAATGGGGGGGGGGGGGGGGGGGGGGGGGGGCTATGTGCAGACATGGTGATTCCTGGGTGAGAGGAGGGTCTTCCGTGCATCAGCATGACTGGGTGGTGGGGATGGTGGGGGTGATGAGGGTGGTGGGGGCCGGGCAGGTAGGGGTGGAGGGGGGGTCCGTGTCGAAGCTGGGTGGGGTGAGGAGGGGTGTCATCTGATGAGGAGGGGTGTAACTTTGCGGGGCCATGCTCATGCCCATAGGACCACTCTGAGGTACGTACTCCCCTGGCATGCCTTGAAGCCCTGAGATGAGAGAGAGATAGGGTTAGAAACAAGCACTCGTTTGAATGGAAAAGTATAACAATTTTTTACTACTATATTCCATTACCGTGACTTTGACATAAAACAATAAATGAATTTATACTTTGTGTAAAGTGAGCTCATTTTGTGGTATAAAAATGAAGTCAAATAACATACTAACTACATTTAGGATTATACATGCCCCAAAAGTCCAAAGCTACTTCCGAAATGTTGTTTCTAGGAGCAAAACATTTTAGGCGATTGAGAATCCGTTACAATGCCAATAGAATCATGGTCAGTTCTCAGGTTGGAAAGTGATCTCCAACCATCCAGACACTGTCATCCTGGAGGATGTGAAGCTAGCAGCCTTATTGATGTTAGCAGCACTAATACTTTTACAGGCAGAACAGTCAATTCCCCCACTGAATGTAGTGACAACCTGAATAGAGGCGTTTTCTCAGGGGACGCCCTACTGTGAACATATTTGATTTAAAACCCCTTAAAGAAGTTATTAAATAATTTAGAGCCCAGTTAACTATAACAACACGCCTGTCTAAGAATAGCGTTCAACCTTTGCGTTTTCCCCTCCAATAAGAGGCACTTCTAACCAAAACAAAGTGCTGCTCTTGGAAGAGGGGGAGCGTAGGTTTAAGAGTGTAATGACAACAACAGCTAAAGCACAGAGACAGCAAGAAACAGAGGCAACATAGAGATAAAAGGAGGGAGAGAGAGAGATGTAGAGAGCAAGAGAGGGAGGGAGAAAAAGGAGGTAGGGAGGAGAGGGAGGAATATGCTGATGCGATACCCCTTGGTATGGAGAGTAGGGCCCTGTTTTGAAGTGTGTGGAAACCCCAGCATGTTGGCATCCCCTCACTCTGTACCTGGGTGGTGAAGACAGAAGCATGCTCAGTGTTGCCTCTGTTTGGGTATTCAGGGGTGTGTTTGTTGTCAACAGACCAGTGGGAAGGTAGTGGTGGTGGGGGGGCCCTGTGGCCTGGGACTGGAGTATGGGAACAGGCCTGGTCCAGAGGCCTGGACCCTGGAGAGAAGCAGGGGAGAGCAGGCGTGGGTCTGGGTCTGTGGTGGAGCCAGTGGGGCCTGGACCGGCCTGCTTTGTAATGTGAACCCCTGGTGGATTAACTCTGCTGGGGAGGGAAGGGTGGGGGAGTGTGGTCGCCGCAAGGTCACCAGGCATGCTCACTCTCCACATTCCTCCACCTTAGTACACTGCAATTAAGAAATGACACAGGAGGGCCCAGCAAGGTGAGGAGGAAGCGAGGGTGAAAAAAGGACAGCATAGGCCAAGATTAATGACCAATCTCATTGGCTGAAAGCAAGGTGCCATTTTCTAATACTCACTACCCTCCTACTATCCACGTCAGTTTATTGGAAATTCACATGTTTGTCGCAGCGCTCTCTTAAAACCTCACTACGGGGTCATAAAATAAGTAATTCAATTTGGGCGTGCTGGGTTGGGCTGGGCAGGACTGGGGTGTATGGCGAGAGCTGTGCGAGGGGTGCCCTCACCTCCATATAACCTGGAGCGGCTCCCGTTAAAGGCCCAACAGATGTTTTGACACTGTAAGATGGTAATATCCAGTCTTGTAAACTGCAGTCATTCTGTTAAGTAGATCTGTAGGCCCCCCTTTATTAACAGGAGTGGTAAAACCATCTGAAGACAATAATGGTGACTGGGCTCTCTCTCTCTCTCTCTCTCTCTCTCTCTCTCTCTCTCTCTCTCTCTCTCTCTCTCTCTCTCTCTCCCCCCCCCCCCCCCCCCCCCCCCCCCCCTATTCTGTTCAGTTCTGTTCTATTCTGGCAGAGCAGGCCTGCTCAATGGCTGGTAATAATTAAGTACCAAATATACCATATTGTTTGGCGGCGTAATCAAACCAGAAGAGAATAATATTCCTCAGTATTAAGCTATTAATGTAATTGGTCATGAAGCATAAAATATGTTATGTAATTGAATAGTCTCAAAATTATATAGCCTATATTAAGAATTAGCCAAGCTGAGCAAATGTTGTCTCTGTGTCTGTTTTAGGGAACATTGCTTCCTGAAGTTTTTTTTAATCCCTGATGCCATTAACAAAGACAGGAGGGGATGAGATGAGAGAGGGAGGGAGGAAAAAGAGGAGAGAAATGGGCTCTGCCAATAGAACGGCTGTGGTGACCCTTCAGAAATTCCAGGCTCCATTTACATATAAAGCATTCTTTTAATCAAGGTAAGTGTTATTATATTGTGCCTCATTGGGCAAAGGAGTTTGGGTGTTAAATAAAATATATTCTGCCCCGCCGCCGTTGGGATGCGATATGTCTTGATTTTTCAAATGTCAGCGCTCTAGCACTAGCGGGAGGTGGAATGGCCAGGCTTAATCAGACAGTGTGTGTGTGTTGTGTGTGTCTGTGTGTGTGAGAGAGAGAGTCTCGGGTCCTTTACATTTATCTCTGTGTCTCTCTTTCCTCTGTCTCTGTGTATCTCATGTCGGGGCTAGTCAATGCCCCCTCCAGTAAAAAATAATCAAAACACACGTGTTCCCTCCCCTCGCCCCCATACTTGCCACCCCCACCCCCCAGTGAAGGATCGGCCATGTCACCCACGGCTCGTATATCTCGCCCGAGGACCGTAATGTACTGCGGCGCTCCCGTCTTTGCATATAAGATAATTTGGGCATCAATCGTTCCCGAGACAGATTTATGTCACTCAGAGGACAGTTTCACTTCTCCTTCTTTATCGCTTCACTGGAGCCTGCTTAATTTCTCCCCGTCAGACCCTGCCTCCGGAGATGTTATTTTTTCCCTAAATGTCCAACATTTGCATTGGCTGTCGGAGATGGGGAGATCGATGGCCCTGTTGGGATAAATTAATGTGTGGCGTCAGTACATGCCATGCTAGCAAGGCCATGGTTGTTGGTTGTGACGGTTGTTTTTCTGTTGTCTGGGCTGGCGCCACAAGTCCCCCCCCCTCTCTCCCAGGGACCGACAGGAGAAAGCTTCACGGCATGGCGGCAACTCCCACTATTCCCAGTCCTTCTATTCATCTTTTGGTAGCTAGCTAACCCCCCTTTCTTACCCCCCTTTCACCCCTTAAAGCACCATGCTACACCAACCACACTCACTGGTTGTCAAGGGGGTTGCTGTGGGGGAGGTTGTTGTAAAATTAGGGTGGGGATGGAAAGGGGATTGTGGGGGAGTAAGGGGGTTTGTGGGTTAAAACCACAAGCCCAGAGGTTTGAGAAATAAAGCCAAGGAAATAGAGCACAGTTGTACTTACTTCCCCCTTTTTCTTTGCGTTTTGCTTTACAAGATGGAGGTTACATGTAGTGCCATTGCCCATCCATGCCCATATTCATCCCCATTCCACTCATAGGCCCTAGAAGAGGAGAAACACGTCAGAGAAAAGGTCAGCAGAAGGTCAAAGGTCAAATCACAGTCAGGTCAGAGCAGATAGACACCCTGGTAGGTAGAAGGAAGGATTGGTTAAGTCTGAAGAGAAAACAACAGAGAGGATGTGGGAAGAGAAGGTACAGTAGTGAAGTGTCTAAAACTGTTAGTCCCCACAAATCTCCCCATTCGTTACAAAGATTTGTGTGTCATTTTATATCTAAGTGAGATGGGTGAAAAGAGAGACAAGCAAGGCAGGCAAATAGTGATACCTAAGGGAGTTGGAGAGAGGAGGGTGGAATTGAGTGAGTTAACTTTATTAAGGTGCAGTGATATCATCAGTAGTTTTGTGACATTGGTTAGTATTGGGTTGATGATGCTGCCATGTACAGCACAGTAGTCAGTGCTGGGGTGACATTTCTAGGGCTAGAGGGGTTGGTGTGTGTTGCTGTCAGTAGTCATACAGTAACAGGGGGTGCATTGGTGACTGTACACATACACAGAACAGTGACTGGTATACAGTATGCAGGACAGGAGGAGGAGGAGTAGGAGGAGGGGGGGCTTACCAGCTGGCCGGATCCCCATGTGTTGCTGGCCGTCCAGTACAAAGCTGCCCATGGGCTGGCCCTCCGGACTGTACGCTGCTCCTTGACTCACTGAAGGATCAAGAAGAAAACCTGATTGTAGTCAAAACATGGACACGAAGGGGGGGGGAGAAGACACACCACACTATCAGCTTATTGTCCCAGCTCTGGCCCAAACATGCTGCAACACATTATGTCCACCATGACTGATGCATGACATGCAAACACATGCAGTATGAGTATACACACACAACCTCGCACACACACACACACTTTAACATTAGACCACAGAAGAGATAATGCATTGTTCTCTAATTGAGAAAAGAAAGAATGCAGTTTGACGAGATCCGGACGTTCTGTCAAGACCATCACCAGCCATTCCCCAAGCAACAGTGATGTTAGTTCATGGACAGAAACACGTTATGGGACATCATTGGCACAAATATCACTATTTATCCCCCTGCAATTGTCATTGTCTACCCCTGCAAATTCCAATTACTTAAAATCTCCAGATAACAGCGAAGGTGAAACGACTGATTATGATCATTATTTAGAAATAAGATTGATATTAAAATATTTATGTTAACATCATAATACTGTCCACAGTAGTAATCAAATTAGGCCATAGTGTAATATTATTAGCCCTATTCAGTAAGAGCATTGTGGAGTCTGTACCAAACAGCATATTCCTGGGCTAAACAGCCTAATCCGGGGTAATCTGTCAATCCTGAAGATTTGGGGAAGTTTTTAGTCATGCTGTCTTCGGAGAGATTGCTGATTGCCACACTCTAAACACACGCTCTCTGTCTCTCTCTTCTCTACTCTCTCAAATATTCCCAATAAACCACAGTAATTGTACTGAGATTCGGAAAGGCACGTCTCATTTCAATAATTGGTTAACTTCATTTGCACAATCTCCTCACCAATTTGTGGGGCTCTCTAGACTTGGAGCAAGCTAATCAACAAAAAGCTTTTCTCCCTCAAAGACAAATTATGTGGTGTTTTTCCTTAGTAATGTTACAGTCGATACGGCCCAGGGTGGCTACATAAATTCCTGTCCGGATTATTTGCTAGATTCTAGAGTGGCATGTTTACGACTTAATCTTTCAGTGCTTTTTGTATTCTGACCATGGTAGATATGGAAAATCAATGCCTGATCAATTTACAATATGAACCCTTCCTTAATCCTTTTCAGAGGAATGGAAATCTCTCCCTACGTAGGGCGTCCAGCCAGAAATCATATTAAACTCATTCTAATCCGTTAGGTAGTTTTTCATGACCAGAATGAATTAATCGCCCACAATTACTAAATTGAAATTATGACGTTCAATACCATCGCATATAGGACCCTTGATATTTCAAATCTGGGCTAAGTGAATACCGAGCAGCAACAGCCAGAGGACTGACACTTGAGGGAATTGAGTGAGTTAAAAAACACAAAGTAGATACCAAAATGCTCCAAGCATTCCTGGAGCTTCTCTTGTGCCCAATTATCAATTCACAGAGAGAGAACGTGTTTCTAAAGCACCTCTCAGGGTTAGATTAGGATATCGGCAATTACAGGCAATTAGCTAACAGATAGCGCCACCACCACACACTTCCCATTGAGAAAATAAGAAGATAGGGTGTGGTGTGTCTGTGTGTATGGTGGAAGTAGGGGGGGGGGGGATTCTCCCTTAAAAATGCAGGCTAGTAGGCATGATGTGTATGCCAGTAGATGAATTGGAAGAGTGGGTGTTTCTGGAAAGAGTGGAAAAGATATGTAGAGTAGACTTTCTTTACCTGCTCGATTTGACTGGTCAATCATGGGCTGTACTATTCTTCTCCTGGCATTAATGAACCTGGGAGAGAGGAGAGAAGAAAAGAGAAAAAATACTTTAAATCACACAGCATTCACCAACAGGAGAATTCATCAGAAACCGCAACACAATAACACAGTTTTGCATGACTTAGTAGCAACATTAGCCACCGGCTCTTAGAGAGCCAATCAAAACAGACACAGCAACAACAAAAGGGTGATTGTGAGCAGACTTGGAAACCCGACAAGGTTTTCTTTTAATGCTCCTTATGATCTATTTCCCTTGTTTAATAAAGCTTTTGATTACATTTGGTTGCTATGGAGAACGGGGCAACATTCCACAGGCATTAAGTGTGTGCTGTGGTGAAGCAGCCATGCCACTGAGAAACTAGACCACTCAGTAGGCTATGTCACATCTCTCACACACAC